ATGCCACGAGTTAACAAATACGTTACTTTTTAATTGGTGAGACGAAATTATTTTTTAAATAATATTTTACCAATAAAAACTCCTTATCAAAGGTGTAAGGTGAATTAAAGTGGTTTAAAGATTAAAAAAAAAACTACAAATTAAACAAATCTTTAAGCAGCGCATAAAACACGAACACTAAAAAATTCCAGAGATGGGATCAGGCATCTAGGAGGAGAAAGCATCCCCTCTCGATCGGTCACACAAAATTTTAATCAAGCAGACGGTATACACCTTAGTCAAAATAAGTATTAAATCAAACGCCATGCAATTGATATAAAATGTGTTATTCAAAAAACCACTTAATGATAGGTTTTATTTAATAACAAGGTCATTTAAATGACCATAGAATTTATGGTACGGTAAATTTAAACAAGTTTGTTGAAATCTTGTGACACCAATTAATTTGTCAGTATCCTGCTTCAGTTTAAAAATAAATCCTACTAAGAGCAGCAAGCTCTTCAGTATCGAATAGGTTGGGAGTAAAAAAAAATGCAGGTGATAGCAGAATTTTTTTTCATTAATGAAAAAAATTGATTATGGGAAAGTGGGGGAAAAACATGATGGTAACGAACATTGATATAAAAAAGTGATCGATATAAAAACAAATCATAGAACAATACAAATTTGTGAACACGGAATAAGTCACGGACTCTGGAAATTCCAGAGATGGGATCAGATGTTTAAGATGAATAAGCATCCTCTGAGTTAATCTCGTTTATCATACAGATTACATCTAGATGTTAGTTGACCCTATCGTCTATAGCTTGTAAATCATCCAAATATGAAACAGATGTGGCAGACTCTGTTGTGTCTTTTATTTTGTGTGCACTGAATTGAATGGAAGTAGCCATTCTGAATTGATGAAACGTCGTCGATAAATCTGAATGTCGAGTTGAAGGCTACAGCAAGTTTTTTTTTCTTCTTATGTTGAGGTTTCTAAATAAATTCTGCCTCAAAAAGGTTTGCTCATAAAGGAACACAGTAAGTACCTATGGGAATTCCCATAATTTGTTGGAAGATCTGGTCTCCAAAGACTACATAGATGTTGTCAATAAGGAACATCAGCATCCTTTAAATATTAACTTCAGAATATTTGTATGTAAAATCAGTTATTTTAGTGAGTTATTTTTTAACAAAGTAATTTTGTTGATGACCAATCATAGGATCTGAAGACTTCTGAGTTCCATTTTTAACGTTGAAGCATTTGTCTATGATATTAAAAAAATTCTAGTTTCTAATTTAACCTGATGACTTGTTGAATAAAGTGCAGAAAAGTTATGTGCTTTTAAGTTAAATTTGAAGGCATACGGTGACTCCCATATATGAGTGGAACAAAAAATTGAATGGGACGTTAAACAGCATACAACCAATCAAACGACGATGAGTCAAATAATATGCCAATCTCAAGTCAGGTACATTGGCATGTACATACAGATCTACGTGTGAAAAGAATTTTGAAAGAAGTTTTTCTTCAAATGTCTACATATAGGCCTCACAAAATAACGGGTAATGAAAATTTATCATTGGATCAGATTCATAGACATGATGCAAACAAATGAATGTCTTATATTAATTAGAGCTAGCTTAATCTGCTTTATTTACAGGTATACTTTATATGAAGCAAAAAAAAAAAAAAAATAATTGTATGTACGACCTACACAATGGAAATATAATGTTGCATACATTAAACAGACCAAAAAAAAAAAAAAAAAAAAAAAAAAAAAATCCCTCCTCCTCCCTCTCTTTCTCTGTGTGTGTGCAATTTGCTGTACTTATTGGTGATCTATTCATTATTTTTAAAATGATATAAAGCTTTCCTTGAGGATGCAGCCAATCACATGTACATTTCCTGATCAATGTCCCAAAGATTCATGATAATTTTTGTAAAAAAGAATCGTGTCCGGACAATATTACTTTAGGAGTAAATGTGGGCTAGAGAAGCTTTTAATGTAAAGGCATTATCTAATAAATAAGAGTAAATGTGGGCTAGAGAAGCTTCCACTGTAAAGACTTTATCTAATAAATAAGAGTAAATGTGGGCTAGAGAAGCTTCCAATGTAAAGACTTTATCTAATAAATAAGAGTAAATGTGGGCTAGAGAAGCTTCCAATGTAAAGACTTTATCTAATAAATAAGAGTAAATGTGGGCTAGAGAAGCTTCCAATGTAAAGACTTTATCTAATAAATAAGAGTAAATGTGGGCTAGAGAAGCTTTTAATGTAAAGGCTTTATCTGATAAATAAGCTTTGAAATACAAATCGGAAATCATTATGCTCTTCGCAACCCAAAATATCTCCAAAACAGGTGAATGATTATCGATACATGATGACAACGGCTCTCTTTCAAGGGTGCTGGATTTTCTATTGCTGCTGCAATAGCCATTCCAGGATGAGAGCGTCCGTTTGATGCAGAAATAACAGCATATGAATTGAACATTTATCATTAAAAATTCTTTGTTTAAATCCAAGACTTAAAAACTACCGTAAGGTCTGTGAAAGTTTGAAAAAGTGATTTGTTTGAAAATTTAATGTTATATATTCGGAAAATACACCAAAGGGAAACATGAAATTCTGAACAAGATTCTGAACTTTATAAACAGTTTAACATTTCATTTCATTTATTTTCTTTCTTTCTTTCTTTATTTATTTTTTTTTAGTTTTATGGGTTTTTTTTTTGGTTTGTATAAGTTTACTTTTATTAAATTTGGTTCCAATTAAGTTTTTATTGTTTCCTTGATTTATTCGGTTTTAAAATGTTTTTGTGACGTCATTCTAGAGCGACTGACAAGTAAAAAAAATGCAAAATAGGCATGATATTAGGATCAGGGGATAAAAGGTACCTAACATCGTGAACTGAGGGTCCATATGAAATTCATATAAACTGCATTGAGTCATTAATGCTTAAAGGTAATTGGTAAAAAAAAAAAAAAAACTGAAATCATCATATCATATATGCTGTTTAACATTTTTCTGTTTTCTCTAAAGAGGATCCTTATAAATGTTATCATATTAGATTCAAGCAATAGTGAAGGATACTAACGTTTGCGTCGATTATCGAATATTAAAATAAATGTAAAATCTTTGGCAGGATTAATCATTTAGACAGAGAAGAAAACATGGACGTATTTTGCCTCATTAAAAATGGACTTTTTAAGAAAACCACACTTAAACTTTAGTATCCTGAACACGGATATCTCGAATACCATGGATATATTGAAGTGATAAGGAGTCCAAAGCACATATTTTCTAAACATTTCGAACCCTAGAATATTTCTTTTTTAGAACGATGATGCAATAGTAAACTATTTGGCCATATCCGAATTCCACACAGAAGAACAATTAATTGTTCCAGTTGAGACTGGAAGATTGTGTGGAGTACCCAAAATCATGGACCTTGTATCTGTTTTAAGGGAAAAAAAGCAGATGGGTATCACTCTAGAACGTCAATTATTCAGAATACCGGAAAAAGTATCGATTTGAAACATATTGAAATAAATCAAATTTTTCACAATTTCTCGAAATTAGTGTCAACTGATGATTTAAATGTATTGATCTATTGTGTATAAATATATCTAAAGGATAGGAACAAGTCCCATCGAAATTAAGAGGTTTGATTGCATATAAATTTCAGGTTATCCCCTCTAAATAGCTTTAAAACAAATGATACGAACACTTACTATTTTTAAGGAGGATCTCTTCATATAAAATGTTTTAATGATATTTTTGAGAGCATGTCTTTCTTATATTAGAAAATATATCCAATAAAATTAAGCTCCGTAGAATTTACTTTTTAATTTATCCAGTATAATTTGTGGAAACCCCTTATTTTAATATTTTTAAAAACCATATGCTTTAAAATTCGTATGAAGGATCAATATTATAATAAAAACTTGAAATCCACATCAACAGACTTCAGAATAATCAAAATATACATGATTTTTATTTCAATCCACAAACCCCCCCCAAAAAAACAACAACAACAACAACAAAAACAACAACAACAAAAAAATCGTAACATCACAAAAAAGACTGGCTGAAAACATTTACACTTAATTAATTCATTTGTCATTATAAGGACCTAGTTAGAAAATACAATTTTTCAATTGCTCGTCTTCCATATCAATTATACACTTTGTTTTTACACAATGTTTATCAATAAAGGAGGCTTTGACTGGACAACAGAGCATGCTTACTCCTGCTAGACACCTGATCCTTCCTCATAAGTTTCCAGGGTCCTTGTTTTATGCCCTGTTTACAGATTTGTATTGTTGAGTATTCAGTTTAGATCGACCACTGATTGTTTTCTTCCCCATTTTTTTTTTTATTTGACAATGTTTTAAGATTTTAAATAAGACAGATAATAAGGTGTTGCTGACTGATTTTTAAGGCTTAAAAGTATAAACAAAAGTCGAAACACTTGAAGAAAAAATCTATATATTATTGTCAAATAAGATAGTTGTCCTTGTGACCTTTAAATATTTAAATTTTAATTTTATTAGGAGATGGAAATCTTCATCTAATGAAGAAAATAATTTTAAAAGTTCGATAATTTAAGGATAGCTAATTCAGAAACACATAACACTGAATTAATATTAGACATGCTATAGACATGAACTTTGCATTAAATAGAAGCAAACTTTCATTTTAATATTTGGATTTGCAAAGTAAACATGTATGGTAATCTACATAGGATTCAACAAATCAATATTCTAATGAATGAAACATACGGAGTACGTAACAGTTAGCCAATCACTTTTGGGTAACTGATATATGTTTTGATATTTACATTTGGCGTTTGGTATACCATATTGCAAATTCTTACAGGAACGCAGCAACGCAGCAAGTATTTTAAATACAAATTACGATATGGGCGCTCTTTGGGCTATCTATTTAATTTTTGTCTTCTTTGCGGTGTCTCAGTCTACCATTATTTCGCGGAATTATACTGCAAAACTGGAAATGGATGATAAGAAATCAAATGACGATCTTTTAGGAGAATACAATTCTACATCAGTGAGAGAGTGTGCAGCGCTCTGTCAAAGGGAGTGTAGTTTCTATGGATTTAATCCTCAGATGAAGAAATGTCGTGCCCACAAGAAAATTTTCACGTCGTCGATGTCTCATGAGGGGGGCTGGAAATATTATTCCCATGACTGTATGTATAATTGTATTTTTTTTTTCGTTTGCCACAATTCACATAAACATCATTCGTTTTTATCGCTCAACATTATTTAATCTAAATAATAGTCCTGTCTATTTACTTATTTATTCTAATTAATCTTATTTTGAATGAAAACTGAATTTGAAATTGAAGAAATTATTTTTTTTTTATGTATGTTTACATTTTGTTAGTATTATCTTTGATAAAAATTTTGAACTTCTACTGTGAAGGAAATACTAATGAAAAAAATAATATCAGAGCTTACACTGTGACAATACAGAAATGAACTTCATTTTAAGCATCATAACATTATACCACTTTTAATCATAAGAAAGTTTTTTTTTTTTTTATAATTTACTAAAAAATAAAAAGAGGATGCTCTTCAAGCTTTAGTAACTCTAAATTATTATCTCGCAATAACTGTTCTGAAAGCTGAGATGGGAACCCTGCGCCATTGACTACTAAGCATTCTCTGCCATCCGGTATTTTTTATAAGAAATTATAGATTAAAGACTTGACAAATTTGTGAAACTTAAATAATGTTTAGTAATGAGGAGCGGTTTAACATAATCTACATTGTGGTTAACAACTTCAGCAATTAACCTTAATCATTCTTACAGGTATTATGTATCCTCTTGCTACCTGTGTATATATTTGATTAATCTTATCAGGATAAATCGTTCATTGGTGATAAGAATTTTTATTTTTCTTATTTGTTCACCTTATACTTCCAGCCTCAAATCACTGTTCCCTCTTCTCAACACTTTCCTAGTGAAGTAGAAATGGATAGGCCTCTGCATGACCGTATAAATATATTTAATAAATCTTTTTTTTTAAGTAAATAAATCATACATAAATAAACGTACCACCAAGTCACCCAGCCGAGGAGACTGAAGCAATCAATTTTTTGGTGGCAGGCCATACATGTAGTATAATGTCAACGCAGAAAAAAATAGGGAAAATAAAGATGAGAGTTTATACAATTTCAAATAGTAAGGAAAAAATGGGGGGTTGTTTTTCAATAAATGCTTAATATAAGTTATAGACTAAACTGAAAATTAAAGGAAAAAGCGGTGGGATAAAAATCTTTTGAAATTTTTAATATATACTGCGATTCTGGTAACTCAGCGTTAAACAATAATGTAGATTTTATAAAAGCATACTAGTATACCGCTGAAACCTCAACAAATGATTCTATCATTGTAGATTGTCAGTTTATTTTTCTGCTTTAGTTATTCCCATAGATTGTAAGGATCTTTATAAAGATGGTCACACTAATTCAGGAGTGTATGAAATTTATCCCTATGGAACCATTACCAGTCCTGTGAGAGTTTACTGTGATATGGTAACAATGGGCGGAGGATGGACAGTATGTACTTTATTTCAAAATTAGGGTGGATTATATAATTCATATTTAGTGATTCCGTTGTTCAAAAGAATAAAGAATAATAAAATATGAATATTTTTAGTTTATATCATAATATATTGATCATACAATTGTTTGAAACAATGAATTGTATTGCTATACATTTTCTTCACTTTGAAAGGCAATCCAAAAACGCGTAAACGGATCTCTGAGTTTTGACAGGAGTTGGACAGATTATAAAAATGGTTTCGGTTCACCTGAACAGGATGTCTGGGTTGGTAAGTGTAAATCACTATCAAATAAGGACTTTCATCTGCTTCAAAATTTTCCAAAATTGCTGTACTGTGCCAAATAAAAAATGGAATCGCATCAAACATCTAATTGTAAGTCTGGATTATATGTTCATGACAATACTCACACATCAGGTTTAATTACAATCTGAAATAAAAAAGAAAACAAATGAGAGCGAGAGGATTACATCACTCAGCGGCATGGTCTTTGAAAGATACCAAATTTAGCATCAATGTCTACAGCTTAGGAAAATAATTTGATATTTCATTAATGTATATTCATATTTAAAATAGAATTATTGTATTCCAATAGACTTTACAGTTGATTTCAAATATACCTAAATGCAGGAAATGACGTAATACATCAGTTAACAAAAGAAAAGAACCCATTCCTTTATGTGTCCATCACTGTACAGAATGGTACAACGCTGTATGAAATGTACGATCGATTCTCTGTTTCCAATGAAACAGAGAAATATCAACTCTTTCTAGCAGGACCTGCCACGGGAACCTTAGGTATGTGTAATTAAGTTAAGTTCTTAAAATTAGTTACGAATCAAGTATAAAATTATATACTTCTATGCATAGACCAATTATTAAGTTGTTGAAAAAATATACAGATATATTTTTTTCTAATATTCCATAAACGTCTTTAATTCCAAGATTTTAATATTTCACGATATCATTCGTAGATATAATTTACGAATTTTTTTTTTTTTATTTTTTTATTTTTTTTTTCAATTATCCACATTTTGAACTACTACGGAATAGGAAATTACAGCACGTAATTGATATATAATGTGACATGTTCTCGAAAGCTCAATGTTTAAAGAAAATGATTTGAGCCGTAACATAGTCAAATAAAAAAAAATCAAATTCAAAAAATCGCAACGCATTACACTTTTACAATACCTATTCTATATTAAATGAAAATCTAATATTTTAAAACATTTACAGGTACATCATTTCTTACCTTTTTATTATTTTGAATGATTTGCTTCGTATTGCATTTTATACATTTTAAAGGCAAAGTCTCTATTATTACAATTATTTTATTTATTTTTTTTAATCATACTTTAAAAGTGTAACACGCCTGGAGTTTATTGTTCCATTAGAAAGGATGCTTTATAAATTGCACAGCGTTTTGTATTTTGTATTGTATTTTTAATAAACATTATCGCTATTTACAGAAGACAGCACGAGAAGTCGTCTATCTTAGATGTACTTCAGTATTATTGACAATAAAATTAATGTAATATATTGATATTCCACATGTATTTTGCTTATAAAGTGTGAGAAAAGATACGGCATTCAAAACACCATAGAATGGACAGGGGGTCATAAGGTTACAGTATGCGTTTTATTTTGTCGTCACAAACGTTGAACGCCGTGGAAATGCTACGTAATAAGTGAAAATCAAAATCAAAATTCTGGCTAACATTGAACAGAATCTGTTGCAATGTCTCTTCCATTAATTACAACTTACCCTAGGGATAATACAGGGAATTTGAAATCTAAATCAAATTCACAGTCAAGGCAAGGAGTAAAAAATGTAAATATAAGCGATAAAGCTCGTTACTCAATTCGTTTGCACATACTGCTGCAGTTATGAGACTATATCCTGCATAAAATAATGAATCACTGCTTAAATCAATCAATCAATGATCTCTGTGATGTATTTTCTCTACAGGTGACAGTATGTTAAACACGGTGAGTTCTGTCGGTGATCTGTCAGGGATGTCATTCAGCACACCAGAGAGAGATAATGACGGGAGTAGTGGTAACTGTGCTGCTGTCAGTATCGTGAGAGGAGGCTGGTGGTTTAACTTCTGTTACTTCGCCTTCCTTAACGGTCAATGGTCCCCGGCAGAATGGTGGAGACCTTGGCATCCTACAGTAGAGTGGGGGACAAATGTGAGGCAGACCATAATGTTAATAAGACGTCACTAGGTATACAACACTAAAACTTAAAACCCGTATTTACTCTTTGATATTTCCTTGAACATTTTAAACGGTTATTAGAAAATTTGTATGAGGTATAAAACATACCCTTCTTTTTTTCTGAAACATTATTTAATTCTTTTACTTTCTTTCATAAAACATTATTTAATTCTTTTATTTTTTCATAAAACTTTATCTAATTCTTTTATTTTTTTAATAAAACAAACCCTTTTATTTTTCTTAAACATTATTTAATACTTTTATTATTTTCTTTTACTTACAACAGATGGACATTCAAAATTGAGAGACCAGGCCTCAAATTGACGACGACCAACAATCAGTCAGATAAAATATTTCTACTAAAAGAGACAATTTTTAAATTTATCATGGGATTCTATTCAATTTTTTTAGACAATGTTATATATTAAGAGAGAAAACTTGTGAAGGATTGTGTTTTGAAGGGGGTTTTGTGGTTGAACTATTTGCTGAAGCAATAATGTTTTATCAATTTTCCTTACCAAATGTACCCAGTTAAAGCTGTACATAATATGTGTTGTAATAAATTGGAAATTAGAAATATTTTGTTCTTATTTACGAACACTGCCACATGAAGATGCCTTGACGGATAATTAAGATAAAAATTGCTCTATTATTAAACGTATTACAGTGGGAACTGTTTTCTCCGACAGCTGTACAATCCGTGAATTCCGACATTGAATTTCATTTCTAATAATTTCTATTATCTTTACACTGTGTAATCTCACATCATGTTTATTTTCTCCAAGTGCATGTCGGATAAAACAGGTTTCATTGTATTAAAGATATTTCATAACCTAATCATAATTAGTTACATTGGATGTTCATGTACCGCAGTACAATATATCCAGGATTATGCTTCTTAAAAGAGATATCCCCCATTTTTTTTCCATGCATGCAGTATTTTGAATAGATGAGCAGACATATTCCATTATATACTTAATATACTTTATTTAAAAAAAAAGAATAAAAATTAGAGTTTTCCGCTCTTGAATGTACAAGATCCGTCATCGAAGACATATAGAAACTGTAATTTTTAGTCGAGTTGGAACGCAGATAGATATATTTACATTTCACAAGTACTTTGGTTATAACATGTGTTGACAGCTACCCATTCAAAACACTGTAACAAAGACGGGGACGAAAAAAGTTATAGTATGCAATTTATTTTGTTGTCAGAAAAGTTCAACGCCGTACAAGTGCAATGTCATAAGCGAAAATAAAAATTCACGTTTACTTCCATTAATTGTAATTTACCCGAGGAATAATACAAATATTTTTAAAAAAGAAGCAAAGCAAGGAGTTAAAAAAAAAAGTATATATAAGCATCGAATCATTATTTTTTGAAAGATGTAGTCTCGAATCTCCAACGGTGTGTGGAAACAAATTTTCATAAGTCGCTAGCGCACGTTTCTCATTTTGTTTGCACACACCGCTAATATTATGGGACAACATCTTTAAAAAAAAATGATTAAATGCTTAAGTGTGTGTTGAGACAATTCATTCTCTATTATGCGGTGTATGGACTATGATACATATATCCAAAAATTTTATAAACTGCTGTTTGGTACTTGTCGTCCAGTAAAGAATAAAAGTTTTTAGGAGCTGATGTTAAAACAACAAAATTTCGGGGAAACAATGATGCCCTCGTATGGCGGCATATAGCAAAGGTTGTCATTTGCAAGTCAAACTCTGAGGTCAAGGTCAAGAGATCATCATTTTTGGTACTCAAAAAATGGTCTTGTCACAATGAGTTCATCTTTGAAATCTAAAAGCTATAAAAGCACCAACAGTTCAATAATTATGGCCAAAATTAAAGATTTTCAAAAGTAAGTCAAAACTTGTCAAGGCCAAAGGACCAAAACTAATAGTACACAATTGAAATTCAGAAGAAAAACACAGGTGAAATATGGGAGGTTTAGAATCAGCCATTAAAAAGTTGTGATCGAAGATTTTAAAAGTAGGTCAAAGTCTGAGGTATTCAAGAAAAGCTCTTGCCACAAGAAATAAAGCGGTGAAATATTAAAGCCCTAGCACTAACCATTCAGATATTACGGCCAAGGTTAAAGATTTTCAAATGTAGGTCAAACTCATAAGATCAACGTCAAATGGTCAATATTGTTGGTACCCAAGATGGGGTCTTGTCAAAAGAAATGAACACGTGGAGCATGCAATTATCTGATTTAACCGTTCAATAGATATGACCAAGGTTAACATTTGGTAATTTTTTTTAAGTGTGTCAAACTCCAAGATCAAGTTTAAAAGGTCATCTATATTTACACCCTAGGAAAGGTCTTTTCGCATGGAATACACCTGAAAGGATTGAAAACCATTCTTTAACCAATCAAAAATTATGGGTAAGGTTAATGTTATTATTTTACTGACTAACAGACAAACAGATACACTGACAGACAGACAGAAAAACAGACGGGCGGTCAGAGCAAAATATATCTGGTCCCGAATCTTCGATTACGGGTGCATAAACTTTATAATAACACTTGGTGTTAGGTATTTTTTTCTACCTATGGAAAAAAGAGATCGGAATGTAAGTTTCCCTGAAGAAGTGCGAAGATAACGAGACGCCACAATATGCATTCTGTCTACAAGCTATCCGAAGTTTATTTAAAAACTTGAGGATAAATCTCTCCCGAGAAGACAAATGTATTACATAAAATTTAGAAGATTCCATTCAATTATTAACATTTTTTTTTTTACTGACTAGTCTAACACTGCATTTTTCCAATGATAAAAATATAATGGTGGCAAAATTTTATTTTCATTTTAAAACAATGAAACATTACGTAATATAACACTCTTCCGGCTCCAAATAAAACGGTGAGTCCTCACAAATAAAGGGAAGTTTTAGTCCGTCTTCTCCTGTATATTACGTATAATTCCTTTCAGTAACCCCGCGCCACCTACCGTCGTTATGATTAGTCAAAAGGAGGCCAAAGATAGGATCAACTGTCGTCTCACCCTCGTCGTTTGGATTCCAGTTCTGATATGTCACAGGTGTCCAATTATCAAAAATTAGTCTTTCATTGTTAAATGTCAAAACATTTGCACAGAATTTCCAAAAACCCATTCAGATCAACTTCTGCAGAAAAAGGAAAGAAAATAATATCATTATTGATATACTGATTTCTGTGTCATAACATATAAACGTTCTAAACTCTATTTATATAATTTGTTTGTTGTTCTACACCCATACCCTTTAAAAACTTATAAATCGATAAAATTGAACTTATGTATCGAAAACCAACAGATGTTCAAAGGGAAAGTATCCCATTTTCGACCTAGGTAAAAAAGTACAATTTTCTGATACATGTAAGCATAAGCCAGTCTAGGCATAACTAAAATTCAATTTGAAGAACAAAGGAAAATAAGTATCGTTGAATGGTGTTTGAAACCATAACCAAGGTCTTTAAAATGGAAAAACAATTGAAAAATTACAAATTTCATACACTGCCGAGCTTGCAGGAAAGGCTCGGGCAGATGCGATTAATTTTAACACTATTTAAACTTTCAGAACGTTAACATCTCAATTATTTTCATTTCCAAATATTTTTCCTTAAGATACTTTGCAAATTAGAAAAAAGTTCCTATTCTCATGAACTACCGTGGTATGAGTTAGAATATTTTCATTGTGAAGTAATTGAAATAAAAAAAAATAAAGTGCAATTTTTTTTTTCAGAAATGATCGTTGAATGACAAAAATATGTGGTAAGTCATTAGAAAACAATGTAAATATAAGAAATGAATTTAATTTTTGAGAATCCATGGGGTTCATGAACTACAATGCTTCATGCCTGCATATTTATCATGAAGCGCGTTAGCCAGCGTGAAGCGTCCTAGTTCATGTCCTGATGAATTCTCAAAAATTAATTTCTTTTTTTAACTGATGATTTTAACATAGGTTCAACATTCATATATTGTGCTGACTTTTCTTTAACAAATCATCATATGGATCAAAACATTAGAATTTTCGATACAAATGATTGATTAAAGATTAAATTTTTCTTTTGTTGTAGTAATTTTAACAGCCTTTTTGATGTCAAACTTTTAGATGTTCTCCTTTAAAACATTCTTTTACAAACATTGTATATCGGGAATATATAGAATGTCCTGTGTGTTGATGAGATATTGTACTTTGTTTTGAATGATTCTTCAGATAATTTTACCTGCCATGGGTGATAGTCATCTTTCCGGTCTACAGTGTGAATAAGTCCTTCATAAACCCAGAGGATCGTGAACTTAGGTACGAAGGTCTCCGCCCATGCGCCCATTCCCGCCCCCGGAAGTGACGAAATTTTTATGGAGAATCCAGGTGGCGTAGTAAGGTTAGCTCGCTGATGTGGAAGGGAACCTAGAGGAATCTTACATGTACAAGATAATGTCAAGGACACGAAACATAGGTCAAGGACAGATAATTAAATAATTTTATGATGAGATATATGGAAATAACGAATAGTATTCGAGCTCATTTTGCTGTATTTACATCCACTGAATATCATCTCCTTTATTTCTTGAGAAAACTATTGCCGTTTTTCACACGGTAAACACCGCTAAGCATATCACCTCTACAGATTTCTTGAGAAGTGGCTGTTCCATCAATGAAACATACAATGGCGTACATACCAATAATACACAATTCCATCTATTTAATTCTACTTTAAATGATTATTTGTACAACTATAAATATAAACAATAAAACGTACGTCTTTTTTTGTTTGTTAGTAGGGGAATTAACGTTGCAGCTATTGCAGAAAAAAATTACGATTACGCTGGTAATGCATTTTCTCTGCAACAGCTGCAACATTATTTCCCGTACTAACAACCAAAGAAAGCATTTTATTGTTTAAGTACATACCTTTGCATTAGGAATGTGTCTATATTTAGAACTTTTTACACCGTGTTTAATGTAATCTGCACAAACTGCAAAGAAAAACAAAATTGTACCAAGACTGTCCTAGGTATGCAAAGCATAACATTTTCATTCGAAATGTATTATCCTGATAAAAATGTGTTAATAACATCGGTTTTGTTAATACCATAACAAGTCTCTTGCTAATAAAGCACTGATTTTTTTTTACATCAATGCTCTTTTTTTTTTTTAAATCAAGTGTGTATTAGCTAAACAGAATGGAGTTATTTTAAGAAAGTGATACTTTATTAATTCACCATGAAATTGATTAACTTGGATAGAAGTATCGAATTTTAAATTTGTGCACACGTTTTTGACAAATTAATTTAATAGAAAATACTATATGGAAAAGCATTCAAACATGTACATATACATTACCTTTGCATTAGAAACTCTTTATGATCAAAGAAAGAATTTTTTTGCGCGTGAGGTATGAAATGAAGGTCAGGTTAAATGAGGTGTGAAATAAAAAAAAAAGATAGGATGAGGTGTGAATGTAGTTTAGGTAGTGAAGTTTGAAAAGTAGATCGAGTAAAGCGATACGTGAAATGTGGTCAGGTGACGTGAAATGTAGTCAGGTGACGTGAAATGTAGTCAGGTGACGTGAAATGTAGTCAGGTGACGTAAAATGTAGTCAGGCGACGTGAAATGTAGTCAGGTGACGTGAAATTAATTTGGGTTCTCATGCGGAACATCAACAATTTATCATATCTTCAGAGACCAAATCTGCCAACAAACTGTTGGAATTTCGATGGGCACTAATTATGCTCCGTTACTCACAGGCACTTGGGGTATGCCCCCTCCCGTTTTTCCATTTTTTTTTCTTTTTGAATCTTTTTATTAGCCGACCTGTTTCTATATGAAGCAGAATTAAAACTTCTACATGAGAAGAAGAAAGCACTTGCTGTGGCCTTCAATTCGATATTCAGAAATATTGACGACGTATAATCAGTTAACAATAGTTACTTCCATTCATATGTCGACTCGATTTATCCCAGTGAACTTGAAATAAAAGAAGCCTGTCATATTTTTTTCATATTTAGAAAATATGGTGATAGCAGATAATACTCGATAAATAAGGAAATATGACGTTGTAAGAGCTAAGATCATCTCGTTTGTCATACAACAAGTTGTTAGTTGGCTGTTACAGTCAATCGTCAGTAGTCAGTAAAACGTTCAAGTAAAGCTGGTCATGTACTTTTAACGTTGTAAGAACAAATGAAACGTAATAATCAGTAACCATACAACACTATTTGAGATAAGCTTTAAATCTGAAGTATCACTTTCCCTCTATTGACTCTTCTTTGAGATAAGCTTTAAATCTGAAGTATCACTTTCCCTCTATTGACTCTTCTTTGAGATAAGCTTTAAATCTGAAGTATCACTTTCCCTCTACTGACTCTTCTTTGAGATAAGCTTTAAATCTGAAGTATCACTTTCCCTCTATTGACTCTTCTTTGAGATAAGCTTTAAATCTGAAGTATCACTTTCCCTCTATTGACTCTTCTTTGTAATAATCAGTAACCATACAACACTATTTGAGATAAGATTTAAATCTGAAGTATCACTTTCCCTCTATTGACTCTTCTTTGAGATAAGATTTAAATCTGAAGTATCACTTTCCCTCTATTGACTCTTCTTTGAGATAAGATTTAAATCTGAAGTATCACTTTCCCTCTATTGACTCTTCTTTGAGATAAGATTTAAATCTGAAGTATCACTTTCCCTCTATTGACTCTTCTTTGTAATAATCAGTAACCATGCAACACTATTTGAGATAAGCTTTAAATCTGAAGTATCACTTTCCCTCTATTGACTCTTCTTTGTAATAATCAGTAACCATACAACAATATTTGAGATAAGCTTTAAATCTGAAGTATCACTTTCCCTCTATTGACTCTTCTTTGAGATAAGCTTTAAATCTGAAGTATCACTTTCCCTCTATTGACTCTTCTTTGTAATAATCAGTAACCATACATCACTATTTGAGATAAGCTTTAAATCTGAAGTATCACTTTCCCTCTATTGACTCTTCTTTGCTTTTTAAAATTATTTTCCTTATAAAAATCTTATTTATGATTAAAATGTGCAGAAACTGACAGAAATGGCCAATTAACTAGATTCTTCTACAGAAACAATAGTAATTTATTCCAGTAAGAGTTATTTCCCTTTTCAGGCGGTCAATGAACCTTAATACTTACAGTTCTTCTTTTCAGTCTCAACATCCCATTCCCTCTGAGCAATCTTAAAAAGCTCCTGTGAATGCAATAGAATGATGTACGTTATATATGCTGGAAGGTATATTTAATTAAAAAAGCATTTTGCGAGGAATTGATGGAAACGCATGAATTTTGAATTTTGATCTTACAATAATTCAAAAATAAGTATTAATCTCTCTCTCTCTCTCTCGTTCTCTCTCACCTCTCTCTCTCTCATCTCTCTCTCGCACACACACAAATCTCTCTCTCTCTCTCTCTCTCTCTCTCTCTCTCTCTCTCTCTCTCACTTACATTTCTTTCTTGATATATGTTGAAAAAATTCATCTCTGAAATAAAAAGTTTTACTATTCTATTACCGTATATACTCGCCTATAAATCGGGAAGTATCAGTTTATGTACCGTATATACTCGCCTATAAGTCGGGTTATATCATTTATGTACCGTAAATACTCGCCTATAAGTCGGGTTATATCATTTTATGTACCGTATACACTCGCTTATAAGTCGGGTTATATCATTTTATGTACCGTATATACTCGCCTATAAGTCGGGTTATATCATTTCATGTACCGTATATACTCCTCGCGTATAAGTCGGGCTATATATTTTTATAATCCGGGTTATATATATTTTATATAATTTTAGAGAATTTGCCCCTAACCCATTTGTAAGTCAGGGTTAGGGTTATTTTTTTTTTTGGGGGGGGGGGGGCAATTTCTTTCAGATAAATGTTCTAGTGTCTTTACTCCTATTTTAGAGTATGTTTGAGTACGACATCGATATTTGATCATTAATGGACTATTTATCGTTGAGATAATTAAATTTGTAAAGACTTGTACGTGTATTCTTATTGAAACCTTAGATCTACCTATATGTTCTCACCTTTGTAATCAGTTATATAAATATATACCATGTTTCGTTTTCCAGAAAAAAATAAATATTTTTTTGACTCGCGTATAATTCGGAGATTGAGGTTTGGCCCAAACGTTACCTCTAACAAATCCGACTCATAGGCGAGTGTATATTACGGTATTTTATTTCCCTTAAATGACTTAAAGGCGACTGTATACGGTACTTTATATCCCTTATCCGACTTAGAGGCGAGTATATATGGCATTTTATTTCCCTTTCAATCAGAAAAAAGTGTAAATTGTTAGCTTAATTAGAACTGATTTTTTTTATAGGAATTGTTGCATTAACAACAATGTTTAACTACTCAAGATTTAACCATCAATCTGTCCTGAAATTGGATAATTTAAATTAACTGCAACAGATTAGACATCCCAAAAAATTTTTAAAAAAAAGAACGAAAAAATCCCTATAAACGAAGGTTTTTTTTTAGGGGGGTGGGGGTACATACATGGTAATTCAAACGTTGTATGGCGCAGCATACAATGCCCTCTGGTTGTTTGCCAAATAGTTTTTAAAATTAAGTTTATTTATTGTATATCGACTGGTTTTTTAAACAAATTTAAAAAACGCATAAAAAAAAAATATGGATGGGATTCTTTGATACAGACATTCAGAAATAAGCAAATTAAAAATAAATTCTATGTTGCCTATTTTTTTTAAACTTTAGTTAGATCCACTCCTTTGCTTACTTTCAATATATTTTGTGAGTACTTTCTCTTTCACTTCCGAGTCTAGTACGACCATGTGAGCTCCTTGCTGATGACAGATATCACTGGAATTTAACATGGACGTGGGTTCCTTATGGAAGGAGAAACACCATCCACTCACATTCACGAATCCCAGGGACCATTTCAAAACCTCTGAGGCGGAAAACCCAGGGGCACATGTCAAAGACTCCGAATCAATGGGGATCAAAACTGTTAAATGAAATATGTTTTTACAGATTTTACATATTAACCCTTAACGTGTCTCCGCCCTCACATTTTTTATATTTTCAAACTATATATAATTTTCATGTACTTCATTTTACAACAATAGGACGCGTTATTTAAAAAAAAAAATCCTCTGAAAATATGCTGCAATATCAACGATAACATTACTGTGTGGTACTCCAGAGGTACATGTACAATAAGGCCAAAGTTTTCTTTTTCTTTTGGTTTACGATTCCGCCGACCCTAATTTTCACCAATCATGAAAATTAAAAAAATGTCTTTTTCCCGACATATTTTTCCGGATTTTTCTCAGCTGAACTGGTGGGTTTTAAATTTTAGAATGCATCTTAATCAAATAAGCGCTTTTTGATATATGAGACCTCTACAAACATTTAGGTGACCGTAAATAAACACAAATGGTGGTTCTATCATGTAACAACTTGAAGGTAATTCCTCACTGAAAGCTATGACACACTTAAAGAACTTTTTCTGCATGGAAAAGTGAATAAAATCTTGGATGCGTGAACCTTTCTCCAATTGCAATGTCTCAATTGGCTAAATTCATACCGTGATATTGGAGAGTGACACGGATACACCTATAGATAATAGTTAGGCCAATTTGGTGTTGAGAGATACATGTTAGTTGAAGTAACGCTGACTGATATTTCACTGGATAAATTCAAATATGTATAAAATGTTAATTTAATGAAGTAAATTCAATTTACAAAAACGTCAATCACTTTTAATATTGTTAAGCAATTAAATTGTATTTTTCTTCAATCTAAATTTAACTTAAATTTGGACCCTTATTTTTAGTTTGTGGGGATACTGAGGTTTATATATAACACATCACATATCACTGAATAGTCCGAAATATCTGACGTTTTCCTGGCTTTTTTACAATTTTGATATTTTATGTGTCAGGAAAACGTCAGAACCGGAGCCATTACGAAAACTGGGAATTCGCCGCCTCCAAGAGTTGACGCATTTTATGTTCAGTAAGAGGCAGATCAAGTAATTTTTCCACAGTGAAATACGGATTTTATTATTGAACGGAGTATTATTTGCAAATCTGAGGTAGACCATTAATACAAATTTGAAACTTTTGTTTAGTGCCAATATTTAAAAACTATCGAGAGAATGTATTGAATTATTTCTACCGGTCTTTTTGTGTGTGTACAGGATATGCATGTTTCACGCCAAGGTGCCTCATTAAAATAAATAAATGAAGTACATAGTAAAGTCACACATATTTCGACTAGAGCCAAATAACTTGAAATTTAAACTAATAAAATGCGAAGTCTATCTAAAGCAGCAGCACTTTCCATACACTACAAGTTATATAGAGACAACTTTATATTGAAATTCTCATTTCTAACTACGGTATGCCCTCGCAATATTGAAATTTGTTTATGACCTACATACAGTACACATAACATACATTTATCACGTGACTGTCAAATAAAGTGACCAAACTAAATTCCGTACAGAGCGGGGTATACAATGTCATTTCAATTTAAATTAAAGTCATGTGATAATATAGTAGCTTTACAAAAAATTAATTTAGTTTAAAAAAGATATGTACTTATGCACGTTTATATTCCGTTGATTTCTCCATAATACACCTTAACAGTTCTGCGAAATTGATATATTGTAAGACATATAATCAAGAACCCGCTTTTACTTACACTTATCCACATTTTCATGAGTCCATGTTTGCTCTGCTAATAATTTGTTTTGTGATATGTGGAGATAACATTCATCAAGCTAAAAAGTCCAGAATGTTTCTTTTGCTGATTTTTTATGGATGCTTAAAGCCTCACTATTATATATAAATACTAATAAGAAAAGAAAATAAATTACGAATTAAAAAAATCTAAGACTCGACAAAAATATTCCATGTTTTTTTTAGAAAAAGAAAAAAAAAAGTTAGACGAAGCGTTTGCATAATGTAATAGAAATCATTTCAGATATTTATAGTAAAATCTATAAAAGTTGTTTTATTTTTTTTCATTTGTTGATAATTTCAATCTTTACAGGAAAATAATAGAGGAATTCATGTTTTAGAAGAAAACAAAAACAAAATTCAATTTAAAAAACTCCAGATTTCTAATTAATAAACAAGAAAAAGAAGCCTCTACATTTTGGAGGGAGGGGAGGGCTCTCTTTTTGATAATTTCTAAATGCTTCTTTAAGAGAGTTGAAACAAGATTTAGACGTATCTGGTTGTTAGCATGCCGTCGTTTTTATCATTCTATTTATTTTTTTGTTTTTATTTTTTTGTTACTGTACCTTGCAGGCCTTATAACTTATATGAAATGCACCGCCGTAAGACTCTAAACTAGTTGTAATATATTAGTAATTGAACAAATGCTTCCTTAAGAGTGTTGGGGTCTTATAGGTTTAAGAATGTCTTGTTTTAAGGATTCTGTGTTTTTTCACTATGTTTGATAACAATTAACTGCATGGTAGAGAGCAGAGGAATCAATAATAAATAGGACAAAAATTAAAATAAAAAACATAGAGACTTGAGCAAGTCTAAAACAGGTCTGTAAGACATTATACATCTACGCAGTCCAAATACTTGTATTAAATTAGCAATTGTTATTTGGTATTTAAAAAAATCATGTTGCATACATAGCGTGAATATCGATTTTCCATATAGTATTCATAGAAAAATTATGATCTAACTTCCAATGTTTACATCTTAAACAGATCAAACTTAATACATGTTTAAAGTTGTATCTATCGGATACAGGTAATATGATAAAAGTAATCCTAAATCATTATTCTTTAGAAATAGTGTGCTGTCTATGTCAAAAATAAAATACAATTGGTGCAATGCGTTAATACTAGATCATCAGGCCCGCCACTAGCAATGCATTAGCTACACGTGCACTTATTATGCAAGGTGGAGGTCGGTCTGATACGTTCAGAGACTACCAGTGTTAATTGTCATTATATATATATATATATATATATATATATATATATATATATATATATATATATATATATATATATATATATATATATATATATATATATATATATATATATATATATATATATATATATATATATATATATATATATATATATATATATATCCAAAATTGAAATAAAGTCTCAGTAATCGGATTACAATATTAAACAAATATAAAAAGAAAACACAAGAATCCTCCGTAAAGCTTTAGCGCTTTCATTAAAAATCTTCAGAAGCTTTACATTACAAAAATGTATACAACGGTAACATAGTAACAATGATTATGACGTTAAACTAAGCGGAACGTTTAATGTCTATATTGTGACGTCATAGATAAAATACTGCAATGATGATGAAAAAGTTCGGGAAAATCATAGGTAGTTTATAAGAGACTATTAAGTTTTGGCTTTAGAATACAAATAAAATGTTTTTCTTTTTCCCGTCTCTGGATATCACTGGCACATCTGAGTTTATAAAAAGGGAAAATGTTAAATCGTTTTTTTCCACAAGTTTCCAGGTGTGCACTTAACTGGATTTGTCTATATTCAGGTGTACTGATGTGTTGCTTATGTACACGTACACGGGCACGGAGACTGTTGCCAGTTTCACCAATATAATATTCTTTGCATCCAGGACATATGATGGCGTATATGACATCTTTCGTATCACATGACATGTTGGCATTAACTTTAAATTCACGCCCGTTAAAACTATAACTCGTCCCTTCTGTAATGTAGTCACATGTGCCGCAGCGAGGGTCCGTACACTTTGACACTGTATAATTATGGTCAGCGAATTGGGAGGAACAAAGTATTCTCTTAAGGTTTTTAGGCTGACGTTTACTGCTGATAAAACGACAGTTTTTGTATGTAGTTTTCGTTTGTTCATCCTCTCTAAGTAAGCTATTTAATTCATAAACAATTGAATTGATGTTTTTATTTCTCGGATTGTACGTGTGAACAAAGGGTATAGTTTCTCCGTCCTTCGCACGTCGTGTGTTTGAAAGTAATTGTGTTCTATCACACTCCTTGGCTTTCATAATACTATTATCTACCAGTTGCTCTGGGTATTTTTGGCTCAATAAATACAATTTTAATTCCTCCAAACGGATATCCCTCGTATTAATATTGCTCACAATGGTACAGATCCTTCTTGCGAGATTATATGGTATAGCCGTTTTAGTATGGTGGGGATGGCACGATCCGAAATGCAGATATTGGTGTGTATCTGTCGGCTTATAGTATATATCCGTATTTAACCTGGTATTATCTTTTGATATAAGAACATCGAGAAATGGCATTTGCGTATCATCTGTTTCCATCGTGAATTTGATATCCGAGTTAATTTGGTTTATTAGATCGTAAAACTCCGATAATTTGTCGACATCATCATCCCATAAGATAAAACAGTCGTTTTATCAGCAGTAAACGTCAGCCTAAAAACCTTAAGAGAATACTTTGTTCCTCCCAATTCGCTGACCATAATTATACAGTGTCAAAGTGTACGGACCCTCGCTGCGGCACATGTGACTACATTACAGAAGGGACGAGTTATAGTTTTAACGGGCGTGAATTTAAAGTTAATGCCAACATGTCATGTGATACGAAAGATGTCATATACGCCATCATATGTCCTGGATGCAAAGAATATTATATTGGTGAAACTGGCAACAGTCTCCGTGCCCGTGTACGTGTACATAAGCAACACATCAGTACACCTGAATATAGACAAATCCAGTTAAGTGCACACCTGGAAACTTGTGGAAAAAAACGATTTAACATTTTCCCTTTTTATAAACTCAGATGTGCCAGTGATATCCAGAGACGGGAAAAAGAAAAACATTTTATTTGTATTCTAAAGCCAAAACTTAATAGTCTCTTATAAACTACCTATGATTTTCCCGAACTTTTTCATCATCATTGCAGTATTTTATCTATGACGTCACAATATAGACATTAAACGTTCCGCTTAGTTTAACGTCATAATCATTGTTACTATGTTACCGTTGTATACATTTTTGTAATGTAAAGCTTCTGAAGATTTTTAATGAAAGCGCTAAAGCTTTACGGAGGATTCTTGTGTTTTCTTTTTATATTTGTTTAATATATATATATATATATATATATATATATATATATATATATATATATATATATATATATATATATATATATATAGATATATATATAGATATATAGATATATATAAGACTCAGTAAAATAAAAATGTGATTTGGTTTCGTTAAAATATGAAAAAAAACCCTTAATTTATTATGCTTAAGAACTTGCCTTCATGTTTATAATTGGAAGAAAAGATGTGTTCCGTAGATCGGAATCAGCTTATGCATAATATTTTATTTGGGAAGTTTTTCACTACAATACGGTTAGTGAGTACATCTGACCATGGTGGAATTCGGTAAAAGATCGAGTATTTTACCGGAATACAATAGTTATTGTTCTAACTTTTGGTAAAAAAAAAATTCGTTAAGTTCTGAGAAAATTATTTCTTTAATTAAAAAATGAATGTTTTTGATTTTTGATAAATGTGGTAAGATTTGGATTTTTGTACTATTTAAGGTCATACGACACGTTCCTCAAAAATATATATTTTTTCTCAAGATTCTGAGATCGAAATACTCCTACTTTAGGAAGTTCCCTCACAAAAAATCGATGTACATTACCAGGCATTTGTGCAAGACCCCGGACGATGATATTTCCTATATAATCCTACGCTGAAAACACTTGAACTGCTGATATCACAATTTTTGGCCTAAATGTTATGTTTTTTCAGACATTTTAAAAATTGTTTAGAAATCAAAATATAACGATAATAATTATAAATATTTTGGGTATATTATAAAGGAATGCTAAAACGGATATTCGAAGAACGTATCCTCTGACCTTAATAAGGCATTCCTGCACTTTGAAAAAAGTACTTTCATGTGAGAGAGTATAACATTGTGTTTTTTTTATAATGTTTATGCAAGACGCCCCGTTTGAAATTTCAAAATAAGGACAGCGAGATCTAATTATATATATATATATATATATATATATATATATATATATATATATATATATATATATATATATATATATATATATATATATATATATATATATATATATATATATTGAATTTGGTTTTTATGATTATATGGACTTTGTTATATCAAGAAGGACATTTTTTTCTTTACAAGCTGCAAGCTGATATTTTAAACTGAAGACACGCATTTTTATATTTTCTTTTTTGACCTTCATGTGTCAACTATTATTTATTATAAGCCTTTATATCACCTACATCTATTTATGTAAAATACTGCAAGTTTGTTTTTTTGTTTTTGTTTTTCTTTTTTTTTTTTGCAATTTATGGCATTTAAAAGACGCTGTATAAAATTTACTAACGATATATTATATTCATTAAGCAGTTCGAGTCACCGTTAATTCTCCATAAAGGAGGTGTGGCATTATTTATACGGGAAATGTTTACTGTGACATATTGCAAAATATCAATTCTTCATAAGCCCAATTTTAATAAAATGTTTTTGCCCCCTCCCGACTCAAGACAAAAAATAGGTCAGTAGGTAGGTGGCGAATTCTTCTCTCAGAAAATTTCACCATTAATGCTGAATTTTCAAACTTTATCATTTTGAATGCATAAAAAAATAATTGGTTTGTTGATGTTAAAAAAGTTTTGAGTCGGGTCATTTTTTGCCAGTCGGTCGGGAGAGGGCAACAAAACAATTCTTTAAAGATAGCAAAATTCACAAAAAGTAAAAATCTGTATTGTGAGTAACATATTTTCTTCCTGTGAATGTATAGTTTTATATTGGGTATTTGGTTGTATGTATAAACCATCTGAAATGAATTATGAAGATAACGAACAGTAAATAAAGATATATTATGTAAGATCTCAAGGAAAACATGTTTACCAAATCTGGAGGAGAAGGATTGTGTTAGGGGGGTATCATAACAAATGCATAAAGAATAAAAAAAATAGAAAGTTATGAAATCTGGGAATCTCGGGGAAAACGTAGAGCAAAGTCATTAACGTTTAGTCGATCATATAGGATAACAATAGAAGAAAACAGATGTTTGGCATGAGTGGAGGATTTTCTTCGCTGATAGGAGGCTTGATGTGTATTACTATTTGTTTGTAGATTAAGCACTTGTTTATAAGATACAAGTTTGGTCAAGAATGAGAGTGTAACTAATTAAAGAGGTTTATCAGAGGTCATTCGTCTGTATAAATTATTTTAGGAATGACTCTAAATCTTGGCCAAATTATTCGAGTATAACCTGGTTTAGGCCAGTTTACGCTTTACAATACGCGAAGCGGATTATAAAACAGCGTAAACTGATCCAAACCAGGTTATACTCGAATAATTTGGCCAAGAATTAGAGTCATTACTTATAATTCAATTCTAAAATCATTAAACAACTGTGGGTGTAAAATTTCGTTGCTTTTTATTTGTTCAAATTTGCCGCTCAATAATACAACCGTAGTAACGGAAGTGATGGGAAGCAAGGGGAGGTAAAAACTGATACATAGTTCTAGCAGCCATGTTGTTTGTTTACAGGTGGTAAGATCCGAGTTACTGTTTGAAGTTAAAGGTACATTTATTAAATCTGGAATTTTCCATGAATCCCGAGGACTGGAAATGAGAGGATTGCATGGATACAGACGATTCAGCTGGTTGTCAGGGGGGGGGGTGTCCCCATACCAAACCAGGTTATACAGAAATAACTTGTGTTCCTTTTTGGATATTAACCAGTCAGAGGCTAGAATACGAACAAAATTAAATTATCTTTAATTAATAAAACGTAAAAAAGTAAAAATTATGCAAAAGGTTCAACATAAATTTTATGCAATCAAAAAAATAAATTAATTAAAATTAAAGAGTGTTTAAGGGCGGAGAAATACTTAAATATCCAGAACATATACAGTATAAATGTGGCTCAGATAGAGAGAGCCGACCAGGGGTCAGCTGGGTTGTGTCTCTTTCTGGTTACATTTATACAGGTAAGATATATTGGTAGACTTGTGCAATTTTTATAAAATGGGTAAAATTTTCAGATGGTTCAATTTATTTGCAAATTAGTTTATATTGTAATAGTAATATTAATAGTATTGGTAATTCCACTGTGATTTGTAAATCTTAGGTAATTATCAATAATTAGAATGTATTGGTCAACTTTATAAAGAGTGGTCAGCTTGATTGTGTCCCTTTAATTCTGGTTGCATTAATACAGGTTTGGTAACATTCCCACTCCCAATAACCTGTGCACTATAGACAAGAAGGGTAGTAATCGGTTGAAGAGTAAATTTAAACTTTAACGTCATTTCAAGAAATAAAGGACAGAATCCAGGGGATAGTAAGAGTAGTCCTCCTTGGTGTAAAAACTTCTAACATTTTAAAGGCGTACAACGGTCCCGCAGTTGACAAGCAAAATTATTCTGTATATATACAAATTATATGGGCGAATTTTTTTTTTTATAAAAAGCGATGGAGTACATTTTAAAAAGTAAAATATGATTATTTTAATAACCTTCATATATGTTTGTAAAATACTGCAAGAGTTTTTACAATGTATGGCACCGATAAGGCGACAAAAAGGAGATGTGCCCTACTTTTTATGTGAAATGCTTTCTGTGAC